TGGGAGGGAGGCATCGTGGCACACTGCATTTGTTCCTGGTGATCACTCTGCTGTTCAACCTTACTTTATTTTAAACAGACAGCAGTGTTACCTGTTAGCACTAGAAAAACATCCCTTTCTCCCTATCCCACCAGCAAAGATTGTCATGAGCCTTTCTGCAAACTGCAGCCCCAGAGACAACCCCAGACATGCCGGGCTTCCTTCTAATGCAACCAACCAGCCTTCTCTACTTCCATGGCTTTATAGTATGGCTTTATAGGAAAATCCTACTCTGGAGTTGTTCCTACCCAGTTTCAGTCCAAAGATATTTTTTTTAATACTTTCTCCAGATCTTTGCAGCTCATTTAGGTAAATATAAAAAGAAAAGTTTTATGGTTAAAAAAAAAATTGTACTTGACTAATTCATAAGTGGGCAAGTTTGCAACAGACAGATTTTAAAATAATGTTGGAAAGCTTTGGGGAAAGAGAAGGAAGGTCTATTCAGGAAAAGATCAATAGTTCTTCTGGTGGTTTCTTGTTTCAATACAGCATGGTAAAACTGTTCAAAGGAAACCTAACACAAGCAGTAATGATTAAGCAACAAAAGCCCCCATTCCTTATAATTACAGCTCAGTGTGATACCAGCCTTTAGCAAATACGTCATTTTCTGCACTGCAGTGTTAACAAGCCCAAAGCACAGCCTGAGCGTTGCCTCTGATCCGACTGCCGTGTGCACAGGTTTCCTTGGTTCAAGTTGAATGAGTTTATGTGCTCGATAATTGGCTTGGGATAGGTGTGGGTAGAAGCTGCATCCTCTGAGCTTGTCCTGTGCTGGTGACTTGCTTGCTGCACTGGTGCTGATGCTGTGGCAGTGCTGCCCTGCCAGGGGAGTTCTCTCAAATGTGCTTGGATTGGTTTAACCCCATGATGAGGGGCAGCTCTGCTCAGCAGTCTGTGTAGTTACAAAGAGCATTGCTGTTGGGTGCTCTGGCAGCTTGCAGCTCCTGCAGAGATGCTGAGGCACCTGCTGGAGGGACAAGTACCTGTGGTTGTGTAAGTGGCAGTGTGGTGGTGTCCCTGGCTGCCAAAGTGCAGTACAGCACAGGAACTAGTCTGATGATGTTTTCAGGTTTTAAACTGAAATGTCATGTCTCTAATGGCCAGAGCTGCAGCACATGAACATTGGTCATTTGCTTCCTTAACCCAGATTTAGTTCAAAGCCTTACGGACATTTCTAGCAAAATCACAAATTTGAAGAGCAGAAGAAATTACTAGAGCCTTGACTTTCTTCCCTAGTGCAGTTGCAGTACTCATGTGTTGAGCCCAGTGATGTGGGTTTGGCAGTCTCCACAAGAAAAATTGTCACTTTTCTTTTTAATTGTTCCTGTGGTTAATTACCTATGGCATTAAAGGCATGATCCTTATTCCTCAGTTAAATTGTTTTGGCTTTGACTTGGGCACATTGCTTCCTATTATGTGTTTCTGTTCTGGATTATAGTCTCTGGTGCCTGATGGATTACTGCCTTAAAGAACTGGAAAACTGAGTCATTGCTTTCTTTTTTCAGCATGAGAAAGAAATTGAATTGTACGAGTCTTTCACTGGAAAAGACTTGTACAAGACTTGTACAAGACTTTCCATCCCTTGAAATGTTTTTGTGGCTGCTCTCTTCATCATCTCAGATTTTTGAGCAATTCTTACAGAGGTGTATGGACTAGAAATGGAAAAATGTCAGCTTTTGGTCTCTAGAGCAATGATGTGTGGCCCTTTCCCACACCTTTTCCACACACCTTGTTGCCCATGTTATATACAAAGTAGGCATGACACAGGGATGAATTGCTGATGAGTTATTTCCCTTCCAAACTTCTCTTCTAAGCTTGAGCCTCAAGGTGTTTCAGTGGTCAGTCCTATGTGTGGGACAGCCTGGACTATGTGGGAAGGGCTCCTGGGCTGGTAGGTAGGCAGGTATGATCCTGCTAACAGCCTTCAGTCAAAACATCATCTTCACAAATGCAAAGTCCACGCTCTTTCCTCAGTGCTGCCCCAGAGTTTATCTCAGGTTCCTGCCCTGGGAACCCTTCTTCCCAGCCAGATAGGATATGCCAAGTGTAAACAGGAGAAGCTGTGGCAATTCCTTGTTCAGCTTTTTCCTTTGCTTGGTGCTGGCTTGTTGCAGGAGAAGGTTGGAACTGGACTGGAAGACAGTGATGGCTTCCCAGCACTGCACTCTGCTTCCATGGTGCTGGAAGGAGAAGGGAGCTGCTGATGACCAGCTCTCCAATGGTGTGCAGGCTTTCTCCTGTGCTCTATAGAGAGCAGGGAAATAAAGTGTTCCCTCTGGACAAGCAAAGTCTTCTCTTCCCTTAGCCCATGCCGTGGCTGAGCTCCACCCTTGATGGCTTTATCCAGCTGCTCCTTGGACAGTGCAGAGGGGAGGGTGGGTGTCATGCAGCAGGGGTGCAAACCTCAAGGGCAGCTGCTTGTGTGGCTGTCAGGGGACCTTTGATGACTTGGAGAACACACGTCTGCTGCCATGGATGCTCTGACCTGGAGGGAGCACTGGGCCTTCTAAGAGCTTGTTGAATGCATTGTTGACTGTCTGGGGCAGGGCACTGAGCCTTAGATGGGAGGGACATCTGATGCAGGGGCAGATTTTAATCCAGCAAACCTTTGAAGTGATGCAGATGCCAACAGGAGGGAAGTGTTGGGTGGCACATTGTAGTGACCATTGCTGAAGGGCTCTTGGCCATCCAGGGTGACCACCCCTGTCATGCTTATGCCTCCAGAGTATCTGGGAGCTGAGGGAGTTCTGTTTGCCCTGCCACGCTTTTGCAGCCAGTTCCCCTGCAGCAGTTTTACATTTTCCCTGTGGGAACAGTACTCTGAATTTCTTGAGCTTGTTTGGGCGTAAAATCTGAATTAGGCACTGAGTGTAAATTTGGAGACTTTGAGTCTGTTCCTGGCTTGCTTGCTCTGGTGTCCTTGGGTGAGCTCAGATCTTGTTGCTAGAGGAGACCTCACTTTCCATGTGTATTAAATTTGGGTTGTGTGTGACACGAGCTTACCCAGCCCAATAAACTCTTTGCAAATTAGGCAGGAACGCCAGCCTTTCAGGGCTGTTGCCAGTCTCTTGCTCAGGGGTTGTGTTGGGCATGTGCAGCTGGCAGCAAACCCAGCACAGCAGGCAGTGCCATGCAGCCAGCACTGGGACATGGCTGTGTTTGCCTGCTCAACCCCCTTTGCTGTTTTTGTTCCACCTGGGCTCCTTGCTTCTTGTCAAGGACTCCTGGGACATGACAAGAGACCTAGCAAGGGGCTAAGGCCCTGGGAAATGGCTGAGGCAGAGCTAGGCATCATTCCCATGCATTCTTCCCAAAACCATTGTGGTTTGGATGGGGACAGAGGGAGCTGGGAAGGGAAGGTGCGTGCAGGGGGTCTTTCTGCTCATGTTTGCTACCAGCAGTGCCACGGGAGTCCTCCGGGCCAGGGAGAGGGGCGAGCCCCAAACGCTCTATCTGGGCAGCACAGGTTCTGTCCTCTCGGCAGCCCTCTCTCCTCAGGGCCCATCTGGTGGAGTCTGTCACCGGCCCTTCCCTGCCTTCAGCCTGCCCTGGGCAGCAGCCAAGGGACCAGCAGCGTCCCCGCTGCTCTTTTCCCTCCCCCGGGGATGGAGGGATCGCGGGCTTTGATGTACAGGGACAGGGCTGGGGACGGGCTGTGTGCGCTCATGAGAGTCTGGCTAGGCTCCAGCTGCCTTTGAAGTGCTCCAGTGATCAGGATGAAAGGGAGGGGAGTCCTTCCCCAAACCATCTGGCTCTAATTGCAGGTAGAAATGCCTCTCTGCGCCCCCCCGCCCGGCGCTGTGGGGAGGGGGCACTCCGTGCTCTTCGTTAATCCCACGGCTCTCGACCGGGCTGATGCGAAGGGTGAGAGCTTGGGAACAAAAGGGGGTTTCAGCTGGGCAGCCAGAAAAAGGCAGACACTGGCGGAGATGCTGGGAGTTCGGGCACCTCCGCTCTCAGCCTTGAGCTGCGGGGCCCTGCAGGCCTTCCCAAGGGCGCCCGTGCCGCGGGGGGGCTTTGCCAGTTGTTCCCATCTCGGGTTTCCTGGGCACACTGGAGCCTGCTGGCCCCTGGGGCCGCGCTGCTCTCTGCTGCCAGCGCGCCCCGGGAGCGGACCAGGAGCGGGGCAGCCCGGGCCGAGTCTGGCCGCGTTTGCCGCGCCTCCCCGGCCCGCAGGGCCGTGCTGCCTCTCGGCAAGGCTCCCTGGCTGCTACCCCTGCTCCTCCTGGCGCTGGGGGGCCAGACATGTGCCCCTGCAGGGGAGGCAGCACTTAGAGCCACTGGCAGCGCTTGCAAGTGAGTTTTGTTGGCTTTTTTGGCTGGGCGTCTTCCCTTTCCCAAAGAGCTAAAGGTAGCTGGGTTATATCTGCCAGCAGTTTCTTTCCGTCTCTGTGGTAGCCTTTGGGCACTATCAGAAATTTCAATTAAACCTGTGCTGCTTGAAGTCATCTGCCCTAGTACCAATACCACAGAACAATGTATTTGGGTGAGGTTTTCCCCTTTGTCATAAAGCCCTGGTTGTAAACTTTTTATATAAGTATATAAAAGTATTAAACATACATAACCTGTGGTAACTCTGTGGCCAGAAGCAACCCTTACAGTTAACCCATTTCCAGGCACTGAGAAATAGCTAAAAAGGGAGAGTGAGAAGTGGAAAGCCAGGTGAGCTGGGCAGTGGGACAGCAGAGGGGTGCAGGGAGGGTGGTCATGGAGTCGGGAGGTACCAGTCTGAATAGACCTGTAGGCTCAGGTGCAGCAGAACTGCACCCTGGCACAGCACAGGGCACTTGGTATTAACTTGATTGATTAACGTGTTCATTGCTGTCCTGATGCTGCATTAAGATGGGGTGCAGGAACTGTTTGGGGCAGGAGGCCAGACCCGTCTTTGCTGGGTAGTGGTTTGCTCCCTGCCCTGCACCACCACCACCAAGAGCTGTTGTCTCTGACTGTTCCCTCTCCAGGTATCAGCATCATCCAGCCCCCGTTCAGCGGGGGACGAGGAGCTGCCGCCGTCGGGCAGGGCGCGGGCGCTGAGGCGGAGCGGGCAGGCCGGCCCGCGGCGGCACAGGCGCAGAGGGCTGGCTCAGCAGGCTGCCAGGAGCCCGGCGCTGCCCCAGCCCAGTGCTGCTGGCCAGGAGGAGAGCCTGCCCTTCATGCTGGACCTGCAGAACTTGCCGGGGCTGGCCAATGTGGACCTGAGTGCCCAGAACCCCAACATCCAGGTGGGGAGTGGGTCTGGGAGGGCTACGGGGGGATGAGGGTGAGTGCTGTGGTGACAGTGGTGCTCTCCAGCTTCATTTGGTTCCTAAGAGAAAAGATCTCATGAGCAGGATCTGTGTGGCCGCTGTCATCTGTTTTCTTGGTGACTACCAGCTGCAGATAGCAGGCATGGAGAAGCTCCTTGACTGAGGAATTTGCTCACAGCCTTTCCCCTGTCCTCCCCAGCTCCTCTTTACAGAGCAGGAGTAAACTGTCCTAACATGGGTGACCTCTCAATTTCTGAGGGTGGCATTGGCCCCTGCAGGTGACCACCAGCCACCCTGTGCTTCCCACTCTTTTCCTGCTCAGTCCCTCTGGATGAGGAGATACCATTTGCACTCCTCATACGGTCCTGCAGCCCCGAGTGTCTGTGGCCTCTTGAGCTGGGAGCCAGGGCATGGTCTGGTAGGTCTGTCCAAAGGCTGTGCCCCAGCTCACTGCCTTGCCTCTTATCTGCCCACCAGGTGACCATTGAAGTGGTGGATGATCCTCAGGCTGAGATGGAGATGGACTTGTTGAAGGAGACAAGCAATGACTGGTCTCTGACATCCTCTGAGTGGTTGTCCCACAAGGACCTATTCTGGCCCCTCTTCTGGGAATACACTGACCCTGCTGAGGGGGAGGAGGAGGAAGATGAAGAGGAGGAGGAAGAAGAGGAAGAGGATGACAACCTGGATGTTGGGGACAGGGAGGAAGAAGAGGATGATGATGAAGAGGAAGATTACACAACAGATTATGAGGAGGAGGAGTCCATGCTTAGTGGAGTAGGCGGTAACTGGGACCAGCGATGGCCTGGGCAGAAAAACTGGATCTTCAAGGAAAAATATAATTACGGTGAGTTCTTGGCACATGCAGCTGCCCTGCAGAGCAGCAATGCCCTCCCCTGTCCTGTCTGGCCTACAGCCCTGCACCAGGGATCACAGCACACTGGTGCTCAGCTCCTACTTACAAAATAACCGAGCATGCCAAGGAGCAAGGCCAGCACATTGAGCTGGGCTGCCAGCAGTCAGACATACCAGTGTCCCAGCGGGAATTGTCCTTGCATGTAATCACACTGGAGCATGGGCTCTAGTTAAGGCATGCTCAGATGAGCCATACAATATAAATGTTTAATGACAAGTGCTGCTGCCATTGACTCGGGTCCCTGTAGTGAGATCAGTGCCAGAAACCTTTTCCACAGACGTGGGTTCCCCCCAGGAGAGGAGCTGCAGAGAGCTGGATGGCAGATTCTTGTGGGCAGGTGGGCCAGGGCACCACAGCAGCAGAAGCCTACAGCTTCCTGGCCATGACCCCAAAACCAGGCAGCCTTTGCTAACACGTGGTGTTCAGCATTGTGGGCAGTGTGCTAGGCCATGTGGGGGTGGGCAGCGATACCTGTTTGGGTTGGTATGACTGGGAGCAAAGCTGTGAGAATGAGAGCCTTTGCTCAGGGCTGCTTCCCTGGGGTTGGCAGTGAGGATGGGGATGGCCCTTGGCACTGCATGGCTGGGCACCTCCATGTGCCCCAGGCAGCACAGTCCCTGTTCAGGGATGGAGGCAGAGCTGAGGGAGGTCCCAGATGGCTGCTGTCTCCCCTCCTGCTAAAGCTTTGCTGAGGTCCATTGCTCTCTGCCTCTTGCCTGCCGTGCACAGACTATGAAGATGAGGAGGAGTGGAGCCCATGGTCCCCTTGCAGCATCACCTGTGGCAGTGGCAACCAGAAGAGGACCCGGTCCTGTGGCTATGCCTGCACAGCGACAGAGTCGAGGACCTGCGATCTCACACACTGCCCTGGTGAGCCCCTGGCCAGAACAGGCCTTGGCTACTGTCTGACTTTGATGTGGGCTGGCTGCTGCAGGCTGGGCATTGCTCATGCTTCAAGAATTAGTTATGTTTAATGTGATCAGGGCTCAGGACCATGGGGCTTTGTTTCCACAAAGAAGCTATGGTTGGGCTTCATGGCTCCCCAGGCAGTTGTGTGGGGCCCAGGGTTGCTAGAACTGGCATTAAGTTTGGTGTGTGACTTCTTGCACCTCTTTCATATTGGAGCTTGAAATCCTCTCCTGAGGCATATTGAGAGCCAGCTCTATCCACTGGGATGTACAAAACTAACAACCTCTGTTGGGCAGTCTTGCTGCTGGCCCTTCCTTCCAATCACAGGGCCATGTTACCAAAGAAGTGGCAGGAGAGGGGCTGGGAGATGGGTGGTGTCTGGTGCACATACAGAGGGAAAAACCACCCTTCTTCCCGTGTTCAGCCAGGTTCTTTGTTTCGGTTCTTTTTCTGTCTCAAGGAGCAGAAGGAGAGATGATCTTCCCTACAGAGGAGACGCCTTTTAAAAGTGACAACACCACAGAGCTGTTCAACTCAGGTCAGCCTCTGCCTCTGCTTTGCACTGGGGGTGTCTGTGACAGACCCTGGGAGGGTCGTAGCTGGCTGGCGGGGAGGGTTCAGGGTTCAGCCAAGGGGTCCTGTGTCTGGTGTCCAGACCTAAGTCACCAAACCACTGCCATGTGCAGGCTTCAGTGGTCATGCTGGGAAACCCAGTTGCTCCCACAGCCCTGGTACAGCACAGTCCTGCTTTAGGGTTCAGTGGCTGAAGCCAGCCTGCCACGTGCCCTCTCCCATAAGGGAATGTTGCCAGCCTGGCCCCAGCACAAACCCCCTTCTCTCTGTCACTTCCTTGCGGGAGGAGTCTGGCTCCAGCTCATCCCAAGAGCCTGGCTGCTCCTGCCTGGTGGTTGCAGGCTCCACTGGTGGTGTTGGCATGGCTTCAGGCAGATGCCCCCTGGGTAAAGTGGGGTGCAGAATGTCCATGCCCTCACCCTTTTGGTGCCCTCCCCCAGAGGTGGACAGCTGTGAGAAGTGGCTGAACTGCAAGAGCGACTTCCTCACCAAGTACCTGAGCAAGGTGCTGACGGACCTGCCCAGCTGCCCCTGCTCCTACCCGCTGGAGGCCGTCTACAGTGCCGTCAACCTGCGCGATGAGCAGCGGGGCAAGAGCTTCCGATGGCGGGATGCCAGCGGCCCCAAGGAGCGCCTGGACATCTACAAGCCCACGGCACGCTTCTGCCTGCGCTCCATGCTGTCCCTGGACAGCACCACCCTGGCCGCCCAGCACTGCTGCTACGATGAGCACACCCGTCTCATCACCCGCGGCAAGGGGGCCGGTGTCCCCAACCTCATCAGCACCGAGTTCTCTCCGGAGCTGCACTACAAGGTGGACATGCTGCCCTGGATCCTTTGCAAGGGTGACTGGAGCCGGTATCACGCCGTCCGGCCTCCCAACAATGGGCAACGGTGTGCCGACAACCCCGCCGAGGAGGAGTACCTGTCCCAGCTGCAGGAGGCCAAGGAGTACTAGCCACAGCCACTCTCAAAGGTGCCACCAGCACCACTGGCTTGCGTCCCTGCGCAGCCTGGCCAGCCCTGACCCTGCTCATGGGCTCCTCAGCGGTGCCAGGCAAAACGCGGAGGATGTGCCGTCTGTCTCATCCCCTCAGAGGAGTGTCTCCTCCGATTTCTGAGGGTACTGGAGGTTATTGTGGTGCAGTCCCTGCCGTGCCACCCAGGGCAGTCCTGCAGTCCAGAGCTCCTGGCCTGGCATGTGGAAAGCAGCAGGGGCTGGGAGGTATAAGGGGAACAAGGGGCTGCTCCTTTCTGCTTTTATTCTCTATGACCTTTCAGTGCAGCCTGAAAGCTGAGCACAGGGTGAATGAAGTGGGCTCAGCTCCTGCTGGCTTCACACCACATCTGAGGAGCATGCCTGCGGCATGGCTGCCTGCCCTTGTCTGTACACCTGCCCTGGCACATGCTGGTTTATGTCTGAAACTGGGGGTAGGTCTTCCTAGAGAGTGCAGGGCTGTTCAGCCACGCGTACAGAGCAGGGCCCCCCATCCTTGGGTTTGTGCATGGTTGGGAAGGAGCAGGGAAAGGTTTATGGGTCTGTGGGTCTGGGGGAGTGGGCTGTGGGGCAGGAGGAGACTGGCTGCCTGGGCTTCCTTGGTAAGACTGCCTAGCCACCAGGGTTTTGGCTGCCAAATCTGCATGTAGGTGGACCTCAGAGGGCGTCAGCATGGGGACACACCATCTGTGTGCATTTCAGCCCCTCTACCGTGGTGCTTGGGGGAACAGGGTGGTAGCATCTCTGCAAGTCACAGCACTAGCCCTCTACCAGACCTTGGCCCCTTGGCAGTCTCCAGAGGGTCTCAGGAGCACCTGGGACACAGCCCAAAGGAAAGTCCTCTGTTTCCCACTCACAGCCCTGCCAGGGGCAGGAGGCATCTTGGCCACTGCTCATGCCATTGCTGGTGAGGAGCAAAAAGCACTGAGCCAAGCTAGCCCTGCTCTGTGCTGAGTCTGCCCATGTCCCCAGCTGCTCCATTCTGTGTCTGCCCAGGTCCCCACCTGGAGACAGCCCAGACAAACCGAGCCATAGACCCCTCAGGCTCACTTCCAGGCCAGGCTCACAAGTGTGGCTCCAGAGGAGGAAGACACACATGCTAATATTGTCAATACCTGGTGTCCATAGATCAGGGATCGTGATGCTCTCTGCTGGCACTTTGATATTGCCTGGGTTTTATTCAGCTTTTCACAGGTCCGTGGCAGTGTCTCCCAGCATATTTTGGAAGCTTTTCTGCAGAGAAACTAGGCTGAGCACCTTTGTCCCAGGACATTCAGTTGCTGAACTGGCAGAAAATGTAATAGGTTTTATTTAAGAAATTTTATGCATCAGGGGAAATAAAAGTCAAGCACACATCAAGAAGAATGGAGTCATTTCTACTCTAGAGGTTTCATGCAAGGCTGCTAGCTACTCCATGTACTTCTGCAGGGCACTGTTGAACCAAATAACTGGTTGCAGAGGTCCTTAGTTGACCATCCTGTACTGTCTGTGCTTTTTACAGGAGCTTTCTCCAGCCTCAGTGAATATTCTTGGTCTGAAAGCTCTTAGGGGAGTCTTTTTGGGGGGGGGGGGTCTTTGTATGCATCCTTGGTCATCCATACCTAAGACTTCACAGCTGGTAAAACAAAAGTATTAATGAAGTTATCACTGAATTGTTCTTACTCAACTGTTATTACACCCTTGTATCCCTAGACTCTGGATATGGGTTCTATCAAAATACAGGCAGACATCATCCATTTCCCAACAGAAATTTCCCATACAGTCTGAGATGACCAGTGTTCTGTAAATGGTGAGAAAGAAGGGAACCAAGTAAGCATGGATGGAGACCTAGACCTTGGAACATTTTCATGATCCCTGCATGTTCTCTGGCCCAGATGGTCATTCACTCGCTAGTTTCTGGCAAAGAAGTAGGTCATACAGAGGTGGTCACAGTGATCTGGTGGCTTGGTTCTGGGAACCAGGGAGCCTCAGCAAGAGACATGGATGCAAATGAAGCCGTGAGCGTCTGAAGCCATGGAAGGATGAGCTTGTGAACTGCAGTCATTCAGCTGAGCATATTTCCACTGGCATACTGTATGCCATCATTACCTTCATCAAACTCTCAGTGGAGTTTATTTACCATCAGTGCAGACTTCTTTAAAGAACCTCCGGTTGAACGTGCCTAGTGTTCAGTATTGGACCCAAGCATGGAAGCAGGACTTTTACAAACAGTCTTTCTTGAAGAAGACTTGCAAAAGCTCAGCCAGTTTTTCTGTTAGACTGGCTGCTCTCCTAGAAAGTGCTCTTACAGTGAGAGTGTTACCCAGGACTTTTACCCTCCTCTTTACTCTAGCTATGTCAACCAGTCTAACCCCCAGAAAAAAAACTTGTATTTTCTGTAAGAACTGGAGTTCCATCCAAGGGCAAGTTAAAAAGAATTCTTGCATTGATGATCCCCCATTCCCTGACATCCCCACACAAACTAGTTGAGAGCCAAGTAGCTGTTCTGCTTTGCTGCCTCTGTGGTTTGGACAATACAGGCACAAACTGGAGTATGAGAAGCAAGCACTGTTGTTCCTCAAACAAGCACCTTACACATCGTGAGGCTTTGCAGAACACCATGAGAAAAGTAGACATTAAGCAAGTGTTTATTTTTATATCCCGTCAAAGATTCTGTCCAGCCCACTGCTATTTAAGTGATGAATCTCTAAGCTTTCACTCCTTAAGTTTATTGGGTTTTTATATATATAATATATATATAAAATGTCTTTTATTTCTACAAAATTTCACAGAGAAGAGTTCTTTAATCTGATGCTGCAATAAAGCACTTTATGTATGTATATGTCATGCTGATGTCATTCAGTTGTGACTGAAGCATGTGTTGCTATTTATTTTGGTTGAGAGGGATGATCCTATGTTTAACACTGTATGTCTTGGGTTCCCAGCCCCACTTGGGGCCCTGGTGGCTTTGCTTCCTTCCTTTAACATTTGCATTTCAAGTTGTCTGGCTGCAAAAGGTAAGAAAGACTATCTGGAGCCCATGGGATATGTGAAGTTCTGCTTACAGGGGAGGAAGCCTCCTACAAGAAGACCTTCAGGGCCAGTGCTGAGAAGCAAACACATTGCCTGTGCCCCAGCCCTGACCTTGGGTTTTATTCCATGGTCAGCCTGGCCAGAGCTGGGTACTGGCTGATGGTCCAGCACACCACAGCAGGGGCAAAAACCCCACCATCATCCCAGCTAAAAAACTGGTTTGGCAAGCCACCTCCAGAGCCACCAGCTAATTATAGCGGGGGAGTTGGCGAAGCTTTCCAGGGATCACAACTTTTTGTTGCTGTTAATTTTGTGTGTAAATCATAAACACTTCCAAGTTCTTGCTATTTCCAGCTGTTTCTGCTCCTCTCTTGCTGCTTTTGCTTTGTGCTGGCTGCACATCTGTCAAGGGTTTATCTGCTACTCTAGCATGGGACTCTGCTTCACAGCGGCCTGGCACCTTTGCTGGCCCCTGCCTGGGGGAGCAGGTGACTCCTCTCGGTGAAGGATGCTAGGGGCTTCCTGCTGGCGTTCTGCAACATCAAAAGCATTGTTGCGTGGAGCCCAAGCCAGGGGGAGCAGGCTGAGCTCCACTCTGCTCAGACAAAATCACTCTTTCCCTGGAGGAGCAGTCAGCAGTTACTGCTATGTGTATAACATGCCTAATGTGCTTTTATCCTCTGCAGCAAGGTCCTTGCTGTGTTGGATGATGGACCCTGCTGTGAAACTCCTGGGATATAGAAATCCCACAGCCAGAGGTTGGAAGCAGGAAGGATTCCTGCCCTAATTCTGCAGGTGCTGGAGACCTGGAGATGTCACCTGAAATCATACAGTGAGTCTGTGACAGTCTTAAACTGCACTTTTGCCTGCTGCTTTGAGCACAAAACTTCCTGACTGGTTGCTGTTGAGTTGTCTCAATCTGCCAGCCTGGACTGGAGCTGAGCTGGACCAGTCAGTCCCCTGGCATCCAGCCTGCAGTGGTGTTTTTCTGCACACAGAAGGAGCCATGCCCAGATTTTGCTGGGACACAGGTGGGGTGAGTAAAGCCCATCTCTCAGGGATGAACATGAGATTTTGTAGGAACATGTTTACAGCAACAGAAATCCCATTGCCTGATTTTTTTTCAGGGCTCCAGCTCCAAGAATCTGCTTCTTAGAAAGCACACAAAAAGTCCAGCTGGGCCCAGAAGGATCTCCTCTGGAAGGAGAAAAGAGAGTGATAATGCCAGGAGAGTTTAGCCGAAGCCTGTGCAGCAGGCCTGGACTGCAAAGCCTGGTATTAACCTAGGAAATAGCAAGATGTGGTTGTGGTCTGTGGATCTTGAGTTAAAGCTGTAGTTCTAGAGAAGAAACAAACCTTTCGGACACTCCTGTTCTGGCCTGAGAAGGGACACACCTCACTGTGTGGCTGCATTGTTCTTCTGTGCTGGTGGCACACCTCTGGAGCAGAAGACTAGGGAAAACCAAACTCCAGCACACTGAAGGTTTTCAGCCGTAGTCCTGCTCACCTCACTTTTTCACTTGGTCAAGATAATTTTTGATTCTAGAATTGTCTCCTAAACTTGTCTTTTACAGCACCAGTGGTAATGGATTTTTTTGTTTTGTTGTTTGTTTGTTTTTGTTTTTTTTTTGTTTTTTTGTTTTTTTTTTTTTTTACTTTTAAGTTACCAAGTATATTATCTTTTATACCAAAATGTACTGGATTCATTACAGGTTCATTAGGCCTTCCCTTATGTACTAATAAAACTATTCTATGGAGCATTGCCTACAGTCTTAAAAAAGTTCAAAGACTCCTTTTGGTTTATTGTTTGATGGTTGCTTCTTACTCATCTCCATGTGCCTCATAACAGCATAGTCAGTGAGGATCCACCTCTGACTTCCATCCCTGAAAAATACACTTCTGTTTTCTGCTTTTTTAACCTTTGTTTTCTTTAATTTACAGGGCTTTCCTCTCACCCCCTGTCAAATTCTTGAAGAGCCTTTGGGTCAGAGTATACTGAACCCTGCTTTTTTCCCTAATTTTATACATCCCTCTCTACCCCAAATAGCTGAAGGACTACTAAACTGTGACTGTTTTCCAATACTTCCAAGTAAAGCAGAGGTCTGGGATTTCTCATTAGCATGGCATAGCTGCACTGGAGGTCAGCTGTAGCTGCAGGAGTGTGTGTCTGCTGCCAGTAGGCAGATGTAGTGCAGCGACCTTCTCTAGCATGACTTAAAAGGCTCAGATCTCCTTAACCAAGTAAATGTCTGAAGTGGTGTAAGGCCTTAATTACCATTGCTGTGCCCCGTTAGAGCTGACACAGCCTGGCACACTTTGCCTGAGTGCACAGCCTGGCCTTTTAGCACAAGCTTTGCTTCACTGCTGGGTTAGTCCAAGAGATTCACGTGTGAACGGCAGCCAAGGCATGGCTACATTACACAGGCTGTTCTGC